GTAATCAAAATCCCCCCTACACCTCCTCCCCCTGCCATTGACCTTTCCCCTCCCCACTGAAGCAGGTAACGACGAGCTCCTAGACGGGTAACCCGGAGACGCCCCACAGAAGACATGGCCATCCTCCAGACACCGCCTCGCAGCACCAAGGGCGTACGTCCGGCCGCAGGAACAGCATTGCCATTTCCAGCTTTTGCATGGGAGGGCAGGGATGAGTGGCGGGGGGACAGGTGCAGAGGTTGGGGCGATGAAGTCGGGACTTAGAGGGGGTGTGGGGAGGAGGGTGCGGAGGTGGAGACGGGGGGGTGGTTTAGCTGCTGATGCTCCAGCTTTTTTCGCTGTTCCAATTCCAGATCCAGATCCAGATCCAGATCCAGATCCCGCTCTCCAAGAACTCACCACACAATCAATACCGCACCCCTCTTTGGGCGGCGGCGTCGGAGGACCCAAACTCGTAGGACTCAGCGGACTGGTCGGGGACGTAGGACTGAGTGGTGGGGTGGAGGGGAGCTGGATATACTGTGGTGGCTCGCTATTCTGATATAGCTTCTCTTTCGTGGTCTCGTTATCTTTCTGTCGTTGCTCGAAGGAGAGTCTTTTGATTTTTGCCGGGGCAGTGCTGGGAGGTTGTTTGGGTTTGTAGGATGAGGGTTTGGGGGGGTACGGGTGGGGGACGGATGTGTGGTGCTGGGAAGGAGGGGCGGGAGGATGGCTCGATGTAGCGGGGTGGTGTTTGTGTTTGGGTGGTTGTATTTGGATTTGTGTTTGTCGAGGGGAGTTTGTTGCTATGTCTTTTGAGGGGTTTGTGGAGGGGCTGGTGTGAGGATGTTTGGGAGGGTGACATCTTTCCGCTCGTTCGTGTGGAAGGGAAGGGATCTGTGTATATCTATAGAGGAGTGCGATATTTTGGATTTCGAGGATGAGATATTGCGTAGAATGCTTTTCTGAAGCCTGAATGACAGCTCCAACAGCCTAGTATGATATTTTAACGGAGATGAAAAGTAGAATTGTAAGAATGAAAAGATGAGGATTGTAGAATACCATGATAAATAAAGTGAAATAAGGTAAGAGAGGCAAAGTGTATGAGAAATGTCTATAGCGAGAGAACTGAAAGTACCAACACACCGGCAGGTACTGTGATTGGTACCTCCACCTTTGTCCCAACTCACATTTCTTTGAGGATCCTCGAAACGCCATCTGAGATCTGGACATCTGACCCGAGATCTAGAGCTCGGAATCGACCTAGGAGAATCATAGAATCTTCTACGAGACAAAGAAAATACTTTAAACAGGCGTCATTCACGAAATACCCCTCGATCCTAAAGACATGACCTACCTCAAAGCATCACTCACCGGTACCCAAATCCGAAACCACCCAATACAAGAAACAAACCCGCACCTAGAGTGAAGAAGCCTTCAATTGTAATTTAGTAGTACATGCGTCATCAGAAAAATCGCTCTTTCGACGACTTGATCGATCGCAACCTCGACTTCTTTCATTCGGACCCATAGAAAAGCCTTGGGCGATGGGTATTTCATATCATTCCACCTTCAGCTTGTTGTACTTCAACTCATAAACATTCGCCCCTCCATCCCAAACGCTGTAAAGCCAGCAAGCAACCCTGACAAAAAGCAGTCCAAGCCAATCAAAGTTTTCCCAATACACCTCCAAATTCTGGAACCAGTACGACGACAGTCGTACGTAAAAAGAAGAGAAAAAAGACGTGGAACCAAATCAAACCGGAGAAACCAAGACCATGAATCTGGCGTGTGAAATTGTGAAAGTAGAAAACATGTGGTATCTATCCTTCGAGAGCCTTTTGCTTCTTCTTTTGCTCGACCTTTAGCAACAGAGCACGGTTGATATGTGGCAGAACACCTCCGAAAGCGATGGTTGCGCGAATGAGGGTATCGAGTTCTTCGTCACCACGGATGGCAAGTTGAAGGTGGCGAGGAGTGATACGCTTGACTTTGAGGTCCTTGGCGGCGTTCTAGTGGTGAGGGAATCAGTATAATAGTGAGTGAGGGAGGGAGGTAGTGACTCACTCCTGCGAGCTCCAGAACTTCCGCTGTGAGGTACTCGAGGACGGCGGTAACGTAAACAGCGGCCTTTGCTCCAACGCGCATCTTATTTTGGGTGTTGTTCTTCAAGAAACGCTTGACACGACCACATGGGAACTGCGAGTTTTCCAATTAGTATATATTGGGAATTTGTTTTCGCGTCTTGTGGTGAATTTCTGCGAGAGCAGACTGCTGGTGAAATTGTCTGCGAAATGGCGATAGTATTGCTACATGAAGCTATCGCAACAGCGATTTCAGTCGCGTCATGCCAGCAGAAATATTGCGATAGCAAGATCAAGTGATAGATCTATAGATGCATTTTGTTCTCGTGGCGCGTGGTGGTGAAGCCCTCTCCTCCCCTCCCTTGCGCAAAATGCCCATTTGCTTCAGAACTGCATGTTTGCGACGATGACGCGACATGGTGGGGTGTCGCAAGCTCTAGCTCCAGCTCTAGGATGGTAGTCGCATCGCGAATTGTGGATGGAAAGGCGATGCGAAAGTCATGATGTCGTGGTGGACGAGTAGAGTGAAAAAAAAAAGAAAGTGGATGCATGTGCTTGTACTAACCTGAAGACCAGCCTTTTGGGAGTGGGATTGCTGCTTCTTGTTTCCATCCGCGCCGACCTTCCCTCCAGAGGACTTGCCGCCTGAAGATTTACCCTTTCCACCAGCCATTGTATGATGCGATGGTATTGAGGGGGATGGATGGTGTTGTGGTGATCAGAAGGTAAGTTTGGTCGGTGCAGAGGTGGAGTGTTGAGGGTGGATCAGTATGTGCAGTGCAAGTGGAAAAAATGGGTGGTGGTGGTGATGGTGCAGATGGATGTTGATGTGTTGATAATGGAATTCGTGGATGGCGCGTCGGCTGGGGGGGGATGATATGGGAGGGAGCCGGAGCCTGAGCCTGAGCCTGAGCCTGAGCCTGAGCCTTCGCTAGTTACTGGCTGTACTGGCTGGATGGTACTGGCTGCTATTGTACTGCTGCTGCTGCTTACACTACAGTGTCTGCTTACAGCACCCAACGGCAGTGCTACAAACGTGATTGTCTCAACTGAAAAAACGAGCACAACCAATTCTAGCACAGCAACTGACTTTGGTCTTTTGTCAACCACTAGTAAATTTTGATTGTATGAGGAAAAAAGAATTGAATACCCCCCAATGCACCCTATACAGATCATGTTCAATACAATTCTGGTGTCATCATAAAATCAACATAGGCGCGAACCTCCATTCTCTTCAACTTTTCGCTGGGGACACTGCCTCCCATACCCCCTGTCCAAAGCTAATTCTTAGCGGGACTCTGAAGGATTTCTGCCCAATCATATCCAACCAACTCAGGTCAATTCCCGCGCAAGGCTACAAGCGAGGCAACAACTAAAACAAAAGTTGCGATTCATCAACACCATCTACACCATACCTCCATCACCTTGAGATACATACACCATGGCCGAAGTCTCAACGCCCAATGGCCTATCGCGAAAGCGCAAAGATTTTGACGATGGGTCGGTCACTCCGGCAGTAAAACGTCTACGAATCCACGAATCGAATGACGAGTTGAATGGACAGGAACCAGAACAGGAGACAGGAGGCGCAAATGGGAGGACGGAGGAAGGAGAGGACGAGGAGGAAGACTTGAATGTTCCAGCCAGACCGATACGACAAGAAGCCCCTCCAGAAGGCTTCGACGATCTATACCTGGATACCATCAATCGCAGTGTCCTCGATTTCGATTTCGAGAAACTCTGTTGCGTCTCACTCTCCAATATTAACGTCTACGCCTGCCTAGTTTGCGGAAAGTACTACCAAGGACGGGGCCCTAAATCGCATGCGTATTTCCATGCCCTAGAAGTTGGACATCATGTTTATATCAACATGCAGACACAAAAGGTGTACGTCCTACCAGAGGGCTACGAGGTAAAGAACAAGAGCTTAGATGACATCAAATTTGTTTCCGACCCGCGATATACCAAAGAACAAGTCATGACCCTCGACCGAGAAGCCAAAACCGCCTGGACTCTAGGAGGAAAAGAATACACGCCGGGCTTCGTAGGAATGAACAACATCAAAGACAATGACTACTTCAACGTCGTAGTCCAAGCCTTATCCCACGTTCCCCCATTACGAAACTACTTCATGCTCGAAGATTCCACAAGCAAGCCCGAACTTGTCAAACGACTCTCCATCCTCATCCGCAAAATTTGGAATCCCCGCGCCTTCAAATCCCATGTCTCACCTCACGAACTCCTTCAAGAAATCTCCTTACGATCAAACAAAAAGTTTACATTAACAGCCCAATCCGACCCCGTGGACTTTCTCTCCTGGTTCCTAAACAACTTGCACCTCTCCCTTGGAGGATCAAAAACCAAACCCGGAACAAGCATGATTCAAAAATGCTTCCAAGGAAAACTCAAAGTCGAATCCCAAGCCATAACCGCCAAAGCCGACGCAGGAGACCGTCTGCGCTTCGAATCCGCCGCTGAAGTAAGGAGTGAAACAACACGCTATCTAATGCTCACCCTGGACCTACCCACGGCGCCTTTATTCCAAGACGAACTAGAAAGGAACATCATCCCCCAAATCCCCCTAACATCCATCCTATCAAAATACGACGGTCTCAAGTCCCAAGAACACCTCAACAGCAGACGCCGCTACCGTCTCCTCCACCCTCTCCCCCCCTACCTCCTCTTCCACATCAAACGCTTCTCCAAAAACAAATTCGTCGAAGAGCGCAACCCCACCATCGTCACCTTCGACGCGAGGAACCTCGACATGTCACCCTACGTGGAGCCCAATCCCGCGATCCACCCCATGGGCGAGCCAATCTGGTACGACCTCGTCGCAAACATCGTGCACGAAGCGGTTCGCGGACGCGAAGACAGTGTCGAGGGCGAGGAAGCGAAGAAAGTGTGGAAGGTACAGGTTGTTAATAAGGCGGGGGGTGATTCCTGGGTTCAGATCCAGGATTTGTTCGTCCAGGGGACGCAGAGGGAGCTTTTGTATTTAGGGGAGACGTATCTGCAGGTTTGGGAGAGGAGGAGGGAGGGGAAGGGGAAGGGGAAGAAGGTTAATGGGAGGGCTTAGGAGGGGGAGTGATGAATGGGAAATATGTGGTGGAGATGTTGTATGTACTTTTATTATGGAGGGGGTTTTTTGTAAAGAAGTACTACAGTAAAGGTATGGATGGTACGTAGCTGTGGAAATAGCCGGATGGATAGCTCATTCTCATTTACGAATGAATGGAGTGGCATTGCCATAGGGACCATTTCCCTTGGCATACATAATTCCGTACAGTACAGTACCTACCAAGATCTTTTCCTTCAATGTAATAGATGTACAATCCTCAGCAACATCCAACCGCACCGAGCTATATAGTCCAGTCCATCTGCACTTTTATTTTCATCTCCATCACATCATATTATCACATCACCCCTCCATCTCTAAATCGCTATCCACCCCATTCGCCACACCCTTGGTGACCTCCCTCTTCCCCCCTCCCACCCTCGAAATCTCAAACACCACCCCTCCATTAAACCCCCCAACCCTCTTCCACCGTCCCAGTCTATGTTCCTTGCCCACAGCAAGCGCGACACACACCCCCTCTTTGCCGCGATCCCCTCGCTCGAAGAGGGAGATATCGTTGATTACGCCTTTGACGACGAGATTCCCTTCTTCTGGGTTAAGCGAGGCTTCCAGGTTAAGCGAGGTGTTGGTGATGACTTCGGAGCCTACGGCGCCTAACGGCTCGAGTTTTTGCTTGTCGTCGCTCAGTTTCCAGGCTCGTAGGTTGCCGTCCCAGCTCCCGCTCAGGATCACGTCCGAGTAGGGGACGGTGGCTAGAGCGGTGATCCATCGTGGTTGTGGTATAGGTACGATGTCCTGTCCCGGGTGGGTTTCTGCTGAGGCTTCGGAGGGGGCGAGGGCGGGGTCGAGGCCATGGGCGTGGGGGAGGGTGTGGATGGGTTTCTTTTTGTGGATTGTCCAGAGGGAGATACAGCCGTTGTCACCGCCCGTTACAAAGGTTTCCTCGTCTATCATGGCTACGCGGTCCATACTGCCTTCTAACACACGGGGTGTGCTACTATGACGGGACTTTTTTTCTGCACCGCCGCCGCGGAAAACGAGTTGGGTTTCCTCTACCACTTTCCATAATCGGGCGGTGCGGTCCCGAGCGCCAACACTGATACAACGTTCCTGCGCGAGGGCCGCGATATCAACGACTTCGTCTTGGTGTCCGAAAAGCGTCTCGATGTACGCTAGTTCGTCGAGTGACCAGACTTTTATGGTTCGATCCTTGGAAGAGGAGTAGAGTTGATTTGTACCCCTTCGGAAGGCGAGGCCTGTTACGGAGTCGCGATGTTGGGTAAAGACTCGGAGGGGGATGAGGGTTTCTGCTTCCCAGACGATGATTCTGCGATCTCTACCGCCTGTGACAACGTATTTCCCGTCTTGAGAGGCGGCAACGGTAAGGATAATGTCGACGTGACCTTGATAGGAATTGTCCTTGGCCTTCTTCTTGTCGCCGCGCACTAGTAGGAGACGAGTGGGTTTTCGTCGGGGAGGTGGTGGGGGTTTTTGCGCTTTCGATTTCTTCATCTTCATCTTTTTCTTCTGGGGGAATTGATCCGCAGGCAGATCCTGTATCCTCCATTTCACCAGCGTGATATCCTTAGAAACCGTATACGCGTAAGGCGGACAAGTAGCAATCCCCGTTACCGGCTCACTATTATTCTTAAACGCACTATGGCTTGCTTCTTCGAACGACAATTCCGTCGCCAACTTCCTGTACATGCGCCCTTTCGACTCGGCTGCATCTTCTTGTAGCCGTTCGGCGATCAGATCGCGGTCGATTTCTTCGGCGTCAAACCCGGTCTCGTCGACTTCTGATCGGATGTTATATAAGTATCGTTCTGCGAGTCGCAATCGTCTTTCCGCCGCGGTAGCCTCCCCATCCCCATCTTCTTCTTCTTCCGAATTACTACTCGAATCACTTAATCCCTCAAATTCCTCCTCTCTTTCCCTTTCTCCCTCATCGCTCTCATCCTCACTACCACTCCCCGATATCGAATCGTCTCTTTCCAGTCTGCGCGCAGCCTTTGGCTTCGGGTCTCGTGGGGTAATCTTTGTAGATTTCGACTTGGAGGACGCGGCCAATCTTTTTTTCGGGGGCTCATTGGTTTCGGGTCTTTTTCTCTTCTTCATGGAAGAGGGGATGGTGAAGAAGGAGGACATGGTTGGGGTTGTTTGCGCTGCTGTTGCCTGGCGGGTGGAAATGGAGGTAGAACTTTGGGATCTTCGTTATTTTTTTGGAGGAGCCGTATTTTTTTCTGCCGGACAGGGGACTGGATGGAGTTTAGCGCGGGACCGAGCTATCTCATCGTTGGATTTGACGTTTGACTAGTTATTGTGATAGTAAATTAGTTCATCAAGAATTAATCTCGAAGGATTCTGGGACAATTAACATCCTTTAAAAAATGCAACTCAAATACTTGATAGCCTAAGAAAGTAACCCGCTGTCACCAGAAATGCTCATCAAGATCCTTGTCACGTGGTCGGTCTTGACAGGGCGGCCGGGGTTTTGTATGGCAAGAGGCAGCAGCTCCGCGCGTTGAACTGGGAGCTCATGAGCTTCCAAATACCACTCCAAGCTCAACTAAACAACAACCACACAATCCGCAAACATGTGAGTTCATCTGTACGAAAGATCCAAGTTTTCATGATGCTAATGTATGTTTTCAATCCAGGGAGGTATTACTTGGAATCACTGGTCAAGACTTTACCCTCATTGCAGCCTCCAAAGCTGCAATGAGAGGTGCAACCGTCCTCAAAGCTGCCGACGACAAGACCAGACAGTTGAATAAGCACACTCTAATGGCATTCTCCGGCGAAGCAGGAGATACCAGTACGTCTACAATCACACTACACTCTTAGCTCCAGAAGCCCTCACTAATATCCTCCCTCCAGTCCAATTCGCAGAATACATCCAAGCCAACGCTCAACTCTACTCCATGCGCAACGGCATCGACCTCTCCCCTTCAGCCGTCGCCAACTTCGTCCGCGGCGAGCTCGCCTCCTCCTTACGCTCCCGCAAGCCCTACAACGTCAACCTGCTTCTCGGCGGCGTGGACCCCATCACCCTCAAGCCATCATTATATTGGATGGACTACCTAGCGTCGCTTGCCCCCCTCCCATATGCCGCCCATGGATACGCACAATACTACTGTCTCTCCATCCTTGATAAGCATCACCACCCGGATATCAATTACGAGCAGGGAATCAAGATCCTTAGGATGTGTACGGATGAGCTGAAGAGGAGGTTGCCGATTGATTTCAAGGGGATGTTGGTGAAGGTGATTACGAAGGATGGGATTCGGGAGGTGGATTATGATGATTCGGCAAGGATTGATTGCCCTTAGTTGTCTCTTGTGGGTTCGCAGGGGAGGATGAATGGGTCTCTGGCGTGATGGGGAAATTACTGAATGGATGTATTATAGCATGGCATCAAATGGCGATCACGTACGGTCAAGACTATCATGAAATCTGGTTTACTGGATCTTTTGGTATTTCCCGGATTGGTATGATGTGTGGTGAGCGAGTCCTTAGCAGGTGTCTGCCGGAACCTAATTCATTCCCAAAAGCGTCCGATGGCAGAAAACATGAAGCTACGTCTATACCAAAGACTAGGTTGATCATAAGTACTCTTGACTTCTCTGGGAACCTCTCTCATCCAATATCAGAAAATTCACAAATCAAGAAATGTCCAGGACCAACATGTGATATCCCTTCTCAATTTATTCTTTATCCCCTCATCACTTCCTATTTCTGCTCCCTTTGACAGCACATAACGGCCTTAAGAATCACAGCTCAATCTCCCTCTTGAAAAATTTACTTACAATCCATCATCATTTATCTAGGCAATACCATTACATTAACCTAGTGGTTTTGGACAGAAATGCGTTTCCATTTCCATTTCCATTTCCATTCCCTCGTTTGTTTACATGCACTTGGGATGTTTAGGGAGAAATCATGTTGGAGGAAGGTATGGAGTGGAGTCTTTGAGACTATAGTTATATGAAGTTTTCGTATTTGACTCTTTTTTTCGGAGGGATATGGGGCGTAAGATCGTTGGTAGTGATATATAGTACTGATGAATAAGGGAGAGTCTTTCGGCGGGTTATGTTTGAAGGTATATAAACTTAACGTATAGGTCTTTGGCTGTGAAACTAAACTCAGTGTCTAAAAAGGCTACATTACCGGGTCGTTCCATTTTTCTTCCGGGTGTATTTAATTAGAGAAAAAGACGGAGAACTAATCATAGGATTATATAGTGTATGTTACACTAGATACACCGTGATGCTTGGAGGTCTTTTAGCGATAGAGATAGGTGCTATGGATTTTTTAGGCAATATCATATTGCCTTTTTGAGATACTGGGGGGGAGAAAAGGGCGAGCTTGGTATGGAAGGTTGTTCAAACTATTAGCTATAGGCACGGGGGTATCTCGTGGTTTGTTTTGAGTTCTTCAGGTAGGAGAGCTGGGAATGTGTATTTTTGAGGATTAGCGGGATACTTCGGTTTATAGCGAGCTTGGAGATATTACTATCCTTCGTGTACAGATTAGGGTTGTTATAGTGGAAGGAAGAGTGTATGACAATTGGATTTGTTATAGATGGAATACATGCAACGTTCGGCATCTGGAATTCCTTTCCATTCCAGACCCCCCTCTGGAATAATTCCATTCCTTTTAGGATTTAGCTAGAATTATTCTATTCCAGAGGCTTATGTTCCATGGAATTTATGGAATTTCCAGATGGAATTTATCACATGACCGGGAAGAAGTCGCCCCGATCCGGGTAGCTAACTAATAGCAAGCTTCTATTTGGCTTTACACTCTGTATTATAGTCTGCCCGCGAGGTCCTGTCAAAATGTCACGTGAAAATACCATTTACTGCCCTAGACTACGCATATCATACTACAGAGAGTCTCTATATAAGTGGTCCCTATTCACTTAAATCTAATAATATCTATACTATTCACTTACAAACCACTCCTAAATACTACGTTTTGATTAGTCAGAAAAGCCTCTGGAATTCCAGAGACTAATCGATGGAAGTATTCCATTCTATTTTATAGGTCCTCTGGAAGTATTCCATATGGAATATTCCACCTGGAATTCCATGGAATATGGTTCCATTTGCCGAACGTGAATACATGGTGTGATTACGAAATTGTGAACTTGTGAGAGATAATGGTATAGGGTATTAGCTAATATTCTACTATGATCGAAAGGGAGTTCTAGGTAGCTTGTAGTATATAACCTACTAGTAATGAAGTTAATAACTCGAAAATTAACTATAGTAGCTAGCTAGATACTTAATTATTAAGACTAACTTTCGAATAACTAGTTCGAAAAATTAAATTTAGTTAGCCTTTTTATATATAATTTAAGTAAACTACTCGAGTAGTTTTTAACCAGTTAAATCTATTATTCTAATTTGTCGGTATATAATTCTGGTGAATAGCACCTTGTACGAGAGCCTGGTGGATCCATATGCTTTAGGTCATGTGAGTGGCTTGCCACTCATATACTTAAGCTTGTAGGGTACCACCTCTCTTGACCTTTACTCTTCATACACGAATGAATACAAGGAGAGATTATGTTTGTGTATCACCCTTTACGACAACCAGGTCGTACCAACATACTTAAATTAACCCTAAGCAATTCTTAAATTATCAAGTAGTTTATTTGAATACTACTTTATATTATTCGGGTTTGATTATAGAACCTTTAGAATATTCTACTTTAGAGCTTCAGGTAAGATTCTAAGAAATTCTATATTAAACTCGAATGTTTATAAGATTATTTGTTTGTTTTCTTGGTAGAGGAGGAGATTTTAGTAATTAGGTATTCGTTTATTAATTGTAGACATGCATGGGATCCCGAAAGCTGTTCTACATGAATAAATTAACTCTAAGATCTCTATAGCTACCATATCTACCCAAAGGCCGAGGGGCTGTGAGTCTTCCCCCTACACTTACTCTATCTATAATGCCACTCACAACAATTCGCACTCAACACAGGCTTCAGGCTCGCTTCCCCTCCAAATCTTCTTGATCTTCAGCCCAGACTTCGCCAACAACTTACTCCATTGAGTCTCGGTTCTCTCCAACCCTCCGATGGGAAACATGGAGATGCCTTGGATCGCTTCTTGCATAGTGGCATTGGTATCTGGCAAAACAAGGTCTACTAAGAGTAACTTGCTTTCCGGTTGCTCTTTCAACAATGGCACGACTTGCTCCAAGAACGTCGTACAGTCGCCATCACTCCAGTCATGGAAGATGTGTCTATAATAGTAGATGGAAGCATTCTTGACCGGTTGCGGCGTGAAAATATCGTATTCCATAAATTCTACACCGGCAGGCGGGCCAGAGACAGCAGCGAAGGTAGAAGGGAGATCTTGAACGATGAACCGACCCTTGATATTGGGATTCCGTTCGCGGACTTCCTCCATGATGTGGCCTTGGCCACCTGCGATATCGACAATCGCAACATCGTCGTCTTTCAAGTTGAGCTTGGCGACCTCAGAACCGAAAGGGTGGGGTAGGGTAGGCGTCGCCGGAGACATTCCCTGCATTGTGGGATCTCATTCCAGCGACCATATTCATGGCACGATCTGGGTGCGAGCCTAACCATGTCCATAGTTCTTCACCGTTAGCCCATTTATATGGGGTGCCGGATTCCTTGGTTGGTGCTTTGTAGCCGCGCTCAGCAAGTGTTCGGGGCATGGCCATGATGGCAGGGATAATGTCGTTGAAGATCAAGTCATTGAAAGCGCGGTGGTCTGAGTTTAGGTATGGCTGGCCGATGGTGGTAAGAGCGTAGCCTGCACCGGGAATTTCTTCTAAGATGCCGGCTGCAGTAAGTTGACGAAAGATTCGGACTGTCACAGATACGTTAGTAGAGAAATTCTAAAGGGGGAATCTGGACTGATACTCACTAATCATGATCTCATCTGCCTTTGTCTCTTGGACTATCTGGGCAAGCGAGATGGTCTTTTCTCCTTCGAACTTGCTCCATAACCCTAACTTCGAGACAACTTCAATAGCTGCGCCTACATTGACCTAGGATGGGTGAGCAAGTAAAGAAGGCTACAAAAATCCAAGTCTGTAACATGGGTAACAGTGTCCTTACCTGATAGACACGAGGCCATACCTCAGTATTCGGCTCTTCCAAAGAATACAACAGCTTTCTCGCTTCAAGCTGCAAGGTACGACGAGCTAGATGAACATCACCTCCTGCAGCAGCTTCAAAGTTCTTAGCTGTATTATTCACATTCGCTACCAGGCCTTTAACATCAGCCACAGAAGTGTAAGAGTCAGACATGGTGAGTGGTCAGTTGTGCTTTTTCTGCAGTGTTTGTTTTTAGGGATATAGAAGAGAAGAAGTGCAGGCACAGGATAAGTAGGTATCTGCCATGCACGCGGTCTTGTGGGGATTCTACAAACCTCTCGTTCCTGTTGGAGATTGTACGATTATCACTTCCAACCAGTAAGACTCTGCTGCTGAGGTCCCGACGTGAGGATTCGTGAAGTTTATTGTTTATCACTAGAGTGGGGGACGATGTGCTCTTTTGGGTGGGGATGTTGCAAGGCATGGGTCGAGATTGGGGTTTTATGCATGTTTATTTGTTTTGATATGCACGAAGTTTCGCAACGGGACTGAGGACATGATCTTTTTCTGTTTTCGGGACGCTTTTTGGGGTCTGAATACAGAAAACACACCCATTACAAGGATACGGAGGTACTGGCCATAAGGATATCCTCGATTACGAAGTATATCCTCAGCATACCCGACCATATCCTTGTATCGAGTTTTTCTGTACCTACTGTTTTGACGATATATTTGAGCTGAAACTGGGAATAAGGTTGAGATCACCCTTCATGACGATGTTTTTGATTGTCGTTAAAGTCCCGTACACATGGTTGTTGTGAGTTTCAACGCTCCAACCGTTATGTCTTGGATCATGTTTCTTACCCGCGGACGTTACGAATACCCCCCACATGTTCTTGTTCTCCAGGAGGAGTTCAAAAGTCAGAAAAAGAAAGGATTGATGTCGATTCTCGATTCTGGACTCCGATCTTTCCATAAATGGCGTTGTATGGGTATGGCTGTGCCGCTGGGGATGAGAAAACCCAGAGCCCGGGCCTCGGACCCGTGCAAGGTGCCATCAAGAAGTGAGCCCAATTGGATTGGGTCCCAATTACCATGATTTGCAAAGTGGAATTTTGACTTCCGGTAGACGGGACGGGTAGGGAGAAACTTAAAACTTTGTTTTCACGATGTAGTTCATACCTCGAGTTGGAAGCGGAATTATAACACTTCAAGCTCTCATGTTAACCACATATTGTTTTCCGCGGAATACAAGATTCATCAAAATACGCACTAGCAGTTCACAGAAAGCAGGATTCCTGAGGCACTTATCATAAGTTAATTGTGGGGCAAGTATGCGTTCTTGAACCAAAGCGACCCTAGATGTCAGGGACAGGACGTCTTCCAAGACCCGCTAATGTGATAAAAAATGCAGTAACTTGCCCCCACGATAATGTAACCCCGGAATCCCGCGACAGAGCTTCCCTGAGAAGAAACGGGGAAGAATAGGGAACGTTCCTAGCCATTCATTTCTGCTTATCTTGTCAAGAAACCGGTTCTTTTCTACCCAAGGATCTTGAAGAATGATGTGCATAGACTATTTGGGCTTTTGGGACGACACTTCGAGCCTTTGACATGACTATTGAACGCCTTTTCTTCCTGATGAGAACCAGTCTTGGCGATGAATCCCAGATGGGATTCCAGATCACCATCTTGTCTGCCGATTCGCGAAATCCCGAGGGCGAGGCTTTTCGATAAGACCCGAGAAAGCTAATAAGGTTGAAAATCTTCTGGGGAAACAGATTAAACGAGTTGAACGGAGTTGTATCAGCTATTCAGGGATGGAATTCTGAGAGCGATCGTCCAGAATTCCGTCCACCGTTGGAATTTGCATATGAGATGGCTCAAGCGAAGTAAACACTTACTTATATTGTCCTTCCCTCTTCGGAATTTCGAAAAGACCTCACCCTCATATCGCTATTCATCAGCCTTCACAATGGTATCTTCTGGATCATTCGTCGCTGCAAGCGATATGCCTGCTGGCACACCCAATCGTCTTGACATGAGAATCGGTTGTTACATTCTTTATGGGCTTTGTACAACTGCTGTCATCCTTCGGTACGCCTTACTTCCTGGTATTCTCAGCATTCAGACTTAACAAGCCTAGTGTTTATGCCCGTACGATATATAACAAGACAATGGGGTTCGATGATATTATGGTTATTGCGGCTTGGGTAACAATCTCCACCACTCTTCTCGATTTGGCTAACTCGATCCCTCACCAGCTCACAGAGACGATCGTTATCGAGGTATCAAGATCATGTTTGATCATGGCGTTGGATGGCATGTTGCAGACATCATGACGCTCGAGAATGCACCGGCTGTCATTGCACGAATGATTTTGGTAAGTAGCTTACATCTATTGTGGACACCAAACCTGTATCTCAACTCTTCTCTTGCTAATATTACTGAAAGTGGCCATGGGTTGGTCAAATCATTTACTTCTTCAGCTTAGGATGTATCAAAGGAAGTATCGTTGCGTTGTACCTTCGACTGGCAGTCACTCAAAGACAACGATATATTCTTTGGGGTGTTCTGGCATTGATACTTACTCAAAGTCTTACATCCACAATTGCAAGTATTCTCGGGGCCAGAAATATCTTATATTGTCGACTGACTTGTGATTTTCCTCCGCAGGTTGTAGCAGCTTTCTTCTGCAGTCCGCTTAGCCAAGTCTGGACAGATCCAACTGCTATTGGGGGACCAACCTGTATCGCTGTCTTGCCATTCAACTATTACAATGCTGGATTATTCGTCGCAACAGATATCTTCCATGCCACTGAACCTTTGGTTGTCATCAAGGACTTATATATGGATAAAGAAAGGAAATATTCGCTCTGCATCATGTTTTCCCTTAGTCTTCTTGCCATTGGAGGTACAATCTCTCGCCAAGTAACAAATGCAATCGCTATAGAGAATACTGAAGATTTCACATGGTAACCACTCCCTCTACACCACTACCTCGAGTTCTCTAACCTTACCACAGGCTCTGGGCCCCAGCAGCACTCTGTTCAGTTCTCGAATCCAGTCTTGGAATAATCTTTGTCTGCGTCCCTGCCATGGCTCCCCTCTTCTTTCGCTTTATCGGCGGCTCCACAGAGCGATATGTACAAACCCCCGATCGCCCCGGAACGTTCGGTAAAATCGGCGAGAACTTGAATCCCAAACTTAGACCTACGGATGAGAGCATCCTCTGCGTTACAAAAGTGACGGCCGTTGATCCCATGGACCGCGGCGCGGATTCAGAAAGAGGAGGAGCGTATGAGATGGATGAGAGGAGTGGTGATGAGAAGTTTACGACGGGTGATGATGGAAGTGAGAAGACGTTTATCATTCAGGCAAAGCATGGACATAATGTTGAGAGAGCGATGAAGGGAATGAGTTTTAGTGACGGTAAGGGGAAGGGGGTTAATGTTGGTGGAAATAGTGGTGAAGGTAAGGGAGTGTGAGAGGCCAGACCTCGAATAGCTCAAAGGTGTGGTTTCGAATATTCAATTAAGAAGTGCGTGAAGACTACATACATGCNGACCTCGAATAGCTCAAAGGTGTGGTTTCGAATATTCAATTAAGAAGTGCGTGAAGACTACATACATGCAATCTCTTCCTCTATATATAGAGAGAGGAAGAGTTTCTGGAGTCTTCCAAGAAACTGTTTGACAAATACGTGACGTCAAAAGAATAGAGTAGAAAAGTGTAGAAAAGGAGAAACCAATTTAGCAGTGGAGCAATGGCCAATGCTGAGCGGGGACTTTGGTCAGTGCTTAGCGAGGGCATGGCCCGAGCCTCCATCATGGGTTCCAACCCTCACAGTCTGTGAGGGTTGGGCTGGCAACCGATGCCAATGGGGTTCATCATATGCGTACTGTAAGGCGAATTTCTGGGTGGTGTAGTGAACACAAAGTGAAGACTTTCATTATTGCTTACGCGCATTTCATCTTTTAGTATGGTTTAGTTGTTGGTTTCTTGAGGTTTCTTTCAGGTGTATTTAACAGGCCTTGAAGTTGAAAGTTGATAGTTTATCACTATGTTCTGATCTGCTTTTCAATTGAGATAATATTCAACATCGCGTTAATGTGAAAGACTGTGCTGTTTCCATAGACCACAGGCTTTCAGCAAGTCACATCCTAACGAAAGAAAGCACCAAACAGACTTACCCTCTCGCACGTCTCTAAAGACAATATGCTCAACAATTATAACCAGTTCCTAGTTCTTACTCACTCAACAATCGCAGGTATTATTCCACTCCGTACTATATGAACACCTTGAACATAAACCTAGCGACAATTCTTCTATCAATTCTAGGGAAGCTCTATACAACTTTCCCACCCTCGCCCCGAGTTTATGAACCACGGAACTTTGTCAACCAAATATCGTATCAGTTGGCATGATATTACACGGTGGCTCACCATCACTATCATCAAAGGTCCTGTATAGTATTCTCGGTGAGTTGAACAGAGCTCGTGTGGAAACATTTCCTGCACAAGAGTCATAGAATCCTCCGTCGCCCTGTAATGCCTCGTTTTATGCAGATTGTTCTGAAATGAGCCATATACTGCGAAGGCATTGACATATTCTGAACACCCGTTGAAAATCATGATTTTCTTCGCTATTCCTATGAGTTCTAATTACCCCAACAGAAATGATTTTTCGCCAATAATGCTGCATCCCTCTTGACTCAGTCTGATCAAGGACCACACATAATTTATCGTCTCATAAGGTCGTTATCATAATTTTCTCGATCAACATCCTTGCCCATTCTTTTTGCCATGGTGCTCCAACTTGGGCCATCAGCACTTATAAGCGGGCTGATTGTCTCAGCAGAATTGTCACCTTGTCCTCGGACATGCTTGGTTTGACCTATGGAGCCTTAGTAATGTCTCTATTCTCAGCTATCCAGTAGTCACATACCAAAACCAAAAGGCTTAAAGTTATGATAAACTGTCTCCCAGTGGCCTTTCGGTACCGAGTAAGATTCGTGCATGATACCAAGATGGGGATGCTTTTTTTGCCCCTCAAAAAACAGATTGAGTCCTTTCTGATGCACAGGTGATTTCGCGAATGCTTGGAGATGTTCGAGCGACTTCCAATATGATATCCACGCCATGGTATTGCCAGAATCTGCGTCGGTAGAGTAAAGCGTTGATGTCTTGCCTAGATCTGTGCGAACGGTCAGAAATAAAAATAAAAGATACTGTGTAGGGAAAATCTTACATCCCCATTTGGTGCGGTTTGCACCAAGCTCTTGCCACATTGCGCCAAAGACATCTGCAAATGCTTTGAACCCTGGCGCGAAACGACCTTCGTTGCTGTCAAAAATTAGCATATGTCTATATACCGCAGGCTTCTACAGTGGAATGAATTATTACTGGTTTGATCGAGCGCCTAGTATAAACACCACCACCTCCTGGCTTGAAGGACTGGCGGAGAAAGAGCCATTTTCCCTCGGGATCTGTGCCGTATACTTCCCAGCTCGAACTCCGTCTACTTGTGAATCGCGAACAATGCCACGTTTGACCAAAAGAAAGTATATGATTCGCGAGCTGAGCGCCGCAATAGGTGGAGCAATCACTACAGAGACTGGAAGGAATAGTAGAAAGAAAGCCTGAAAACAGGCAACCATCAAGATCCAAGTTGTCATTCGAAAGTCATCGCTAAAGTGTCTTAAGCTGGGGATCATGATTATCTTGCTATCGATTGATCTTCACAATATTTGAGTATGGAAAAAGTTGTATGCTGGTGACAGGTTCAGCTTTGGGAGATCTTCTGCACTTCGAAGAATCAGGCTTCCACGAGAAGATGCTGACACGGTTCACCGCTTCCAGATTTGGGGGCCGATACAATATTTGTCGAGAACCGCGATACTTTATCGTGATATCTCGCCGGTAAATAATCCCCCGATGGTGTGACCTGATCGCCGTGGAAAAAGTTACGAGAGCCGATTTTTTGAAACTGAAATTAGTATATCTTGGGCCGGCTTGGGGTATAAATTCCGTGATATTCAGAGCGAAAATGCGGTCATCGAAGGAATAAACCAAGTAGTAAAAGACGTATGGCCTCGTAGTCTTTCTGGTGAAGATTTGAAACCTTAGTGAAGGCTTTAGGGACGAAGATTGAGCTTTGTATCGAATGATGGCATATTTAGTCGAAGTCAGAGCATTTAGTAGTGATGTTGGTGGTGTTGGTTGCGTCTCAAACGACATTCACATATTGAAGCACTCTCATTGGCCCTGGTCTGGCTTGACAATTTTGCTGTGACGGGGTCGCAGGCTACGACAAAATGTATTTTTCAAAATTGCCGCATTAAGCTAGTAGTAAGGGGCTTGTGAGCGAGCGCAAAATGCCAGTGATTGATCTACCTCTCGATTATCTCAATGACATCAAAGAAGGCCCTTAACCATTCTTGCTACTAATCTACCAGGACGTCCCATCGTTCGATTTATACACAACATCAATAAGGGACCTACCTTATCAGAACTTTATTGTTCTGGTACAATATCATTGTGCGCTTCGACAATGGAACTACCTGATTGCTAGAGCATACCTTTTTTGTGAGTACAATGCAGTTCAAAACCAAGGTTGATATTTGATTGTGGATGATTTGTGGCTGACAGCATAATGCTTATTGGTGGAATGTTCATCCACGACTTCCGTGAGTTGAGCGTTGCCACAGAATGTCACGCAGATTCCTGTCCATCAGAGGCCAAATGTTTCTGAGACTGATCAATTCACAAGTGATCCTGCCAGATATTTCAACCTTGAATATTAGGGTGGAGACTAGCATAAGAGATCTGGTCATTACTTTACACAAGGTATCAAAAGTCATTATGTCAAAAGTCTAGCACAAACAACTATTTATTTATTTATTGCTATTTAACGTCAAGCGGAGTCTAGCTCGCGTGGGCTAGGTCCTAGAAGAGTTCCAAAATAGGGCAAATGACGCTAGGGGGGTGCCCTAGGCTACAGGGGGTGTAAACGAAAGAGCTAATTTACATGAGGCAGTTTAAAGAGAAGCTCCACTTTCGGAACAGCTCTTATCCTTAATTAGTTTAAGAACCAGGGTAAAACAAAGGAGATATATAAAGAAAAAGGAAATAAAAGAAGGCCTGTCTATCTAGAGAGGCAGATCTTAGTGTAGAATTCAGTATTGAAGTAAACCTTGCTAAAGAGCTCTTCGCAGTGGGATCCGAAGAGCAGTTGAGGATTTCTCTTAGCCTTAGCTAATAGCTTAGGTGCTTTGTTGTTTGCTAGCTTGCAAAAGAGTA